TGTGAAACCGTGAAACTGGGACGCTTCTGCTCTCCGCCATATACGAAACAAATTAAATAACAGACGCTTCCAGACCATCTGAGCCCTTATCCTTCACGATTTTCACGAATATAAGCCTCTAGAGAGATTTATCCGATAGAAACGGGTAGAAATAAGAATTAGGTATAAGGACCTACCAATTAAGTTATTTTCATTGGTTAAGTACCTAGCCTCCTCAGTTATTATGAATATGAAAATAATTTTATTGATGTATTAATTCAAGTGAATTATTCTATACAAGTATTTTCCAGAATAGAAAAAACACATTGATTTCAAGAAGTGAATATAATATAGGTCTGTAGGTACTTACCCTATTTTTAGATATTAACTACCCACCTATCAATACTAACAGGATAATAACTGAAAGGGAATATTCTCAGATAAAAATAAATTTATAATTATACAGCTGTGGGGCCTGTGGGTCGTGGCATATAGCCAGGAAAGTAGTTGTTTTCTGTTGAATAAACCGAGAACATCTATTTTTCTTCAGATCATGGGTGCTGAACACTTTCTCAGGTTTCTTGGCATGAAAGTGTGGTTCAAACTGTCAATTTTTTTCAACGTTGTAGTTTTGAGGTGTACTAAACGTAGTACATTTGCCAATTCTCCAATCTATTGTGAAAAATCTTCTAAATTGGCTTTTCCTTTTTTACTGACTACAACTCCACCTTATTCCAATTTCAGTGTGTATGGGAGTTTGTATAGAAGGTCCAGTGCCGGATTTATACTCCCTTACGCCGGGGGCTAACTTTTACGATGCCGCCGTGATGCCGCCGCCAAATATTTAATTTTCAATTGTCAGTTTCAAAATTGAAATAATCCTTTCACTGCTTATTTTACAGTATGTACCAGGTGATTCAATAACGGTGACGAGGTACAGTATCTCAGGAACTAATAGTTTATTAAACACGCCTCCTAGCGAGGGCTGTAAGAACCACAATGGTATGTATGGATCTTTATTTTATTCACCAAACCTTCCTTTCTCGAACCATACCTTTTGTTAGCAATTTATTAGTTCCTGAGATACAGCTTCTCGGTTACCCTTATTGAATCACCTGGTACAAGATGATTCACCATAAATGTCCCCCCTTCTAGCTCAGTTATTTTTGAACCGATTTCAAAATTTGAAATATCATCTTAAATGATTTTCGATAAAGTTTTTTTCCGCTACATCAGAAAATACAGGGTGCTCGGAACAAACGATCTACAGGGTACTATTCGATTTTTTTATATGGAACACCCTATTTTTCATTGTATTTCTAGATTCTCCCTGAATCAATGTATCACACTTGGGTTCTAGCGAGAATAATAACAGAGATCAGATATAGAGTGTTCAAAATCGAGATTTTTCAACTTGAGGATTTTTTTGAGACGAAACTATTCATTATCTGTCAAAACGGCTTTCATGTCCGTATCATAACTTTTGATTTACTATCTACTGACATTTAATAATTGGAACAGATACAGGGTGATCAGAATTCTGAATCTTGAACCACCCTTTGAATGTTCCAATTAAATGTCAGTAGACAGTAAATAAAAAGTTGGGATAAGGACATACCCAGACAGCACCAGATATTCCATGAATCTCCCTATCATATTCCTTTTGGAATATTGGAATATTCTAGAAATAATCAGGAATATTCCGGAATATCTGTGGAATATTCTCTAAATATGCGAATGGGAATTCCTCAGATAATCATAGAATATACCCAAAAGAATATTCTATGTTGAATGTTCCTGGAATATTCCAATAAACATATTCTAAAATAAAAAAAAGTGACCCAAGTAGGGATCGAACTCGTGACCTCGAGACTATCAGAGCAACGCCTTGACCACTAGGCCAGTAATCGAATTGAATAATGTTATACAAATCAAGTTCTTGTGAGAGCATTTTTCGAAATCGGATCATAAACACTTTTTGTTTCAAAATCCCCTTATATCTAATTGATGTTCGATACTCACATCTCTGAAATAATAAATGGTATTTATGTGTTGAGAAACATAGGAATATTCATGGAATACTTCATGAATATACACCACAGAATATTCAGTTGAGAATATTTCATGAATATACCGCACAGAATATTCAGTTGGGTATATTTCATGAATATACCGCACAGAATATTCAGTTGGATATATTTCATGAATATACAACAAAGAATATTCAGTTGGGAATATTCCTGGAAGATTCATACCTGAATATTCCCTGAACATCACTTTGGAATATTCCTTTTAGATGTTCCAGAGGCATGTATATATTCTAGGAATAATCGATGAATATTCGGAATATACTCCTCCTTTTTAGCATATTTAGAGAATATTCTATGAATATCCAGTGCTGTCTGGGTAGAAGCCTTTTTGACAAATAATGAATAGTTTCGACACAAAAAAATCCTAAAGTCGAAAAATCTCGATTTTGAACACCGTATATCTCTGTAATAATTTCCGCTAGACCCCAAGTGCATTGCTGAAATCAGCTCTTCAGGAAGAATCTAAGAATACAATGAAATACAGGGTGTTTTATTTGAAAAAAATCAAGTAGTACTCTGTAGATCGTTTGTTCCGAGCACCCTGTATGTTCTGATGCAACGGGAAAAAAATAGTGAAAAATTGTTTTAGATTATTTTTCAAATTCTCAAATCGGTTCAAAAATAAGTGAACTAGAAGGGGGGGGGACATTTATGGTGAATCACCCTGTACAAGGAATCAATAAATTACATTTACTTCACACGTTGAACATAACAACAAACAACAAATATTATTTTCAGATGAATACTAAAATACTTTTCTTGATTTTTTTGATGCAAGATCGTGAATGGCTTCATCAAAATTCAGATTCAATAATATGTCACTGTTAATACTTGAAATTGATAAGATATTCAATATTTCCTCTACCATGGAATTCCTAAGGTAGTTTTTCGCTATTTTCAAAGTTGAGAATGACCTTTCACCACTGGCATTACTAATCATCAAGGATAGTAAAAAATTCTCAGTATAATTGCCAATATTCAATGAATTAGGAATTTGTTGTGATTATCTCTAAAACAACGCTAATATACTCGTGTTCATATTTTGATCATCTATTTTTGAGATTCAGACCCTTTTCGCGTATTGAATTCCAAAAATATATAAAACTTACCATTCCCGTCTTGAGATCGTGAAGTTTCCGAAGACGGTTCTGTCGGTTCTGATTCTGTCTCATTTGAATTTAGAAAAAAATTAATGTATTTTAGGGCATTTCTTGATAACTTCGTCTAACTGCTTTTGCTTATTGATCTTCTGCCGTTTCCAGAATGCACCACCTCTCTTTTACTCATTTTTTCAAATTTGAGTTTCAATATTTATTTATTATTAGTACCATTGCCAACAATACCAACGGGAACCTATTATAAATACTGAACTCTGATTTTGTTGTTTGTTATTCATCAAATAAAAGTAAGATTTTCACAAAAACAGTATCTTAACCAGTCTCTTTTTCTCTACCGCTTCTTGAAATTCACCGCCGGGGGCTGATAGTCATATAGCCCCCCCCCTAAATCCGGCATTGAGAATCCTTTTAATAAATGTGGATTTTGGGAGGTGTCCAGTAAAATTCAGTGTCTTCATTATTGACACGACATTGCAAACTTCAGTTGAAAACTGGATGAGTTTTTCCATAGTCGTTTTCCTAATATAGGGTAAGCTCCTTACATTGAGAAGCATAATATAGCATCGATGATTTGTTCGGCTCTTCCAAATCGCTTTTGTAGAGTCAGATCCATCAGATCAACATTTTCAGGTATAAACATCATTCCTGCTACTGCAGCTCTGCAATTTCAACACGATTTCTTCGTTGGAATATTCACAAAGGCTGCATATATTTTGGAGCTGTTTACAGAATATAGGGGCCATACTCTCGCGGGTTTCCGTCAAAGCGTGGAAAGTCCTTATCAACTGTGCGTCGTGCTAATAATTTCGATGTTTTATTATGAATGCTTGGCAATGAAACAGATTTCAGAACATTATAGAGAGTTTCACAAAGAATTCTGATATCATTGTCGGGATCTTTATTGGCATATGTTTGCATATTCGACATCCTCAACTTCTTCTTTTGGATATTCTATCTATCCAGTCTGCCAGTGTCTGCACTCCAATCCGAGTTAACACAGATTGATTCCAGAGATATTGGAGGGCATCACATTCATTCCACACATCACATCCGTGACTCGAAGTGAGAGTATCACTGTGAAATCACAATAACTGCTATTCAAACCCTTTTGGTTATTTTATGATTCACATTACGATGCCGAATGAAACTCACAGTACATATTGAGCGACTCCTCATTCAGTATCAAAATTGATTGATTCCGTTCGTTACATATAAAAATAGACAAGAATGTGAGGTTCCAGTCCAGTGAGTCTCTTGGTTAGGGAGCCTCAAAAATTCACCTACATTTTGAGTTTCAAAGCTAATCCAATGTGACGAATATTGCGAATGTTTTGTGAAATAAAGAGTCCCCTGGCAACACCAATGATGTTTTCTTGTGACGACTCGCATTGTTACCTAGCGAGACATGAATGTGACATCCCAGGGATGTTTGTGTTTACTGGGATGCAGAATGGAGATCATTTTTCATGTCCAGAATAAGGCGGGTACTATTTTTGGTTTCTTCTTGTTTTCGTTCTCACTGAGCCAACAGTCGACGCATGTCTGTGGCTGGAAGTGGATCTGTTCCATAGATCCGCCACACCTACTTCGCCGGATAGTCTTGGTAGCTAAGGGCATTCAAATTCAAAGCTAAAAGAAGAAGAAGAACTATAAACTTAACCTCACAAATGCGCGATGTTATTTTGCGATTTTGGAATATTTGGATGGAAATACACCAAATGAAGAGTTGAATTGAAATCAAAATAGGAAATAAGTTGAAAGTGGAAGATTCCTGATCAATACTCCTCTATATTTTGCTAATTAGGATTTAAAAATGAATCAAGCTGAAGTTACCAAATTAGTTTCTCAGTTGAGAGTGAAAGTTAACCCTAGACTCAGGAAGTTCAGAAATCCTGGTGGACCTGAAGAAAGATTGAATAAACTAAGAAAAACTGTAACTGCTCTCATCAAACATGAAAGAATTGAACTCAATTACCCTCGAGCTGATGAGTCTAGAATGTATACTGAAAGGGTAAGTTCCTTATAGAATTTTGCTTGAATATTGTTGATATTATGTTAATAAATTGAGTTGGAGTTGTTCATGGTCAATTATAATTACATTGTGAGAAGATGATGAAAAAGTAAACTGTGAGACAAAATACTCAAATATAGGTAGGTCAGGCAGCCACTTGGTTGAAGCATTAGTATTCTCTATTAGGTTTGTTCACCAATCATGGGTTCAAATCCTGATTGCAGAAAATTTTCTGATAGCCTAAGAAAGTGTTTGAGATCACATGTTGAAAGGTAATGCCCCCAGGGGCGGCGAGTGCATGGGGGCATCGGGGCCAATGCACCCATGTAGGCAGTGGGTATGGGTGCAATGCACCCATTGGCCGAAACAGACGTATAAAAAACAAATTAGATACGGGCGAAATGAGCACTTGTAAATATTGCACATTGTTGCTGGACAAGTATAGGTAAACAACCATGCGAACCGTATATTCGATTCATGTGCATCCAGGGTTTGACACTGTGCACTGTGCAAAGATATTCCGATTTAAATTTTAGACATTATGACATCACAGGTCACAAGTGCCAGTTTGAAAAAAAATTGAAGTGGCTAATGAATCCATTGATAATACAGTCAGTAGGAATACCTTTGCAATAAATTAACTGGGGTTACTTGCTAATTTTTGCGAATCCCAAAGTTTCTCTATTCCATTTTTCGAATGCTGAATAGATATGAGAATTATTAAATCTTATTTTATTTTTGTAGAGATTGAATTTTTTAATATCGTTTCAAATTTTGAGTTATGTTCACTTTTTTCAATGGTGAAAAAAAAAATTCTTCTATTTCTCATCCTTGTTCATATTGATATATCAACCATAAACTTGAAACCCGATTAGTCACAAAAGATTGTATTTTGGTAGAGGTGTTTCACACTTGATGCAAAATAAATAATGCTTTGATCTATCTTGAAATTTGAAGGCATTTGACCTTGAACCATGAAAAATTTTCGCCTGCGGCGCATAATTTTGTTTTACCCTGACCCCTCAATTTTGGCACCCATTGGACAAAACAAAACTCGCCGCCCCTGAATGCCCCCATCATTCCTTGCTCAAACAAGTCTCTTTACCCCCCTCAACTTGCTCAATATGTACCTAATCATAATTTATATCAACAACCTGATAACAAATCTTGATCAGAACAGATGTTGTCTCACCAATTATGCAGATGACAATATGCTATTGGTTCATGGTGAAGTGTTTCCTGATTTGGTAATATATGTTAAATCATATTCTAAAAGTGACAAAAGAAAAAAAATTAATGATAAAAATGTGAGCTTGTCAGAATTTGTAAAATTTCTAGGAATGCACATCAATAATATTAGCAGAATGTTGAACTGATCTTACTGATCTGGTTATAGCATAAGAATAACTGCTAAATATGTCTAGTACTCAATCAATTAGATATGGTATCATATTCTATAGAATTAGCAGGGCCAGAAAAGTGATCTTCATAATCCAGAAAAGAATTATCAGAATTATTTGGAACTTGAAACCTGGAAATTCATGCAGAGGTTTATTCAGAAAGGAAAAAAATAACCACTCACCTTCTAGGCAGTGTTCTTTCAAGAATAGCTATTATTCATTTTCAAAAATAAAGGAATATTCACAAATATAGAATATCAGACAGAACATGATAGTAGACACTCTAACTACACATATCCAGCACACAGAGCTTTTTAATCTTGTATTAAATTTTATAACAAACTTTGTATCATCAAATCTATAGAATCAATAGCAAAATTCAAGAAAACAATTTTAAAGTTGTTGATGTATGATGTGGCTGAGTTCATGAACTTTTCAATCAAATAATTTCGGAAATACCTATTTGTTGAATGAATAACTATCATAATCCAACTTTATGTGATCACTTTATACAGAGTGTCCGAAAAGGTCATGCCAGAAATGATAGGGCTGATCGAGGGGCTGATAGAGTGAGCCAAAATAATATTAGTACTTCATATAAAAAAATTTCTATTTTACTTTGTGAGATGTATTGACCTTGAAAGTTTTTGCAAGTTTATACATATGCCTTCTGATTATTATCAAACTCATACATGGTGACAGAGATAAAAGTTTTCATATTGCTCCCTCACACCCATTAACGAGCCCATTAATCATATGAAAACTTCAAATGCAAATATCTTCTTAATCATTTGAAGTAACCTAATCAAATCTAGTATTGTTGAATTTGTTATAATAATCTCAAATCAAATATGGAGTAAAATATAGGGTGTTCAATGTGAAAATCGGAAGTTGAGGTCATTTCCAGAAAAACTGGAAGATGTTAAAAAAATTTCCTGCTTTCTGCTTGGAAAAGATAATGAATTCAAATAAACTGCAAATTTTGTAACCTTAAATAAATATAAAGTCCTCGTCAAAGTATTTGAAATCTATTCCAAAATTTCATTCCCAAGAGTATATGAAAATACTTTGGAAATATTCAAATCACTACCCTAAAAGTATTTGAATTTTTCTAAAATATTTAAATAGATATTGTGAACTATTTAAGCACTATTTTATTTGTTATTCCATATTTACCTAGCTCTGCTGATGGCATAAAACTTGCAACTCACCCTTTTTACTTACGTTTGATTCCATCTTTGTACAATGTGTTCCTTTTTAAATACTGTCTGTAGGTTAATCAAGAAGGTGGTACATTCATTATACCAAATTTTTTGGGATTTTCTCCTTGTTTCCACAAAATAAAAATATGAATATTATTGCAATATACGTGTAGTAAGGACAAATCAGATGATTTGCCCCATCCTTAAAGAAAAATTCACCAGCTTGTCAGTGACAATTTGTATTTAAAAAAGTTTGGAGAAGAGAAATAAAGGTATATAGAAAATATATCAATTTTTCACTCATCTTTGGACGTTTCGGGACCGATTCTGCTCCCGTTTTCAACATGAGAAGAGATTATTTCAATAGCGAAGTCCTATCTGTCTTGAATTTTTTCAGTTTTCAATGACAAATGAGTTACAGGATGTTTTCATTCATTAATCTTGAATTTATCATGTTACATGTTCAGATTTTAGTAGTGAATACCATGTTCTGTCTATATCAACTGAACAAGAAGCAATGCTATTGTCTCCGTTCAGAGGCTCTCTGATAGGAAAATTCTTTAAACTCAGTAACATTTTGGGGCAAATCATCTGATTTGTCCTTACTACACATATATTGAAATAATATTTATATATTAAACGAGGAGAGAAAATCCCAAAAAAAATTGAATAATGAGTGTTCCTTTTTGTTTTAGTTGATTTCAGATGCCATTCGTTATGGTGACTGTCACAAAACAACAATGGAGATGGCAGATTATTGGCTTATGGAAAAACAGCTGATACATAAATTATTCAAAGTGCTGGTTCCCCGTTTTGAAAATTATAATATAGCTTACACACGTATAATAAAAGCTCCCAGACCTTATCCAGGAGAGAAGCACTTCAAAGCAGTATTAGAACTCAGAGGGAATCCATACCCATCTTTGTTACCTGATAATCATACAAATAGAAACTTGATTCACAATGTGTTATTGGATGAAGCAAGAAAAGCTTACAGAGCAGAAAAATATAAAGAAATCGCTGCTAGAATTGATGCTGATATGAAAACGAAAGATTTGACTGATGAGAAATGTAATGAAAGCAAGAACAAAATAGACGCTCAGGAGAAGATAGTGACACTGGAGGAAAGTGATAATCATCAAAACAGAAAGAAAAATGATCAAATTATTGATGATTTGAAGAGAGATAATTCAAATGAAGAGAATCAAGATAGTCCTGAAGGTGATAAAACAAAATGATTGTTTATGTGTTGACTAAATATTTGATAAAATGTATGTTTAGTAGGGTACATAGCTGGTTTATTGTTGAAATCTGTAATAGCTATAGTTGGGCCACAATCTAGAGTAACATGGAAAACAAGTCGTTCATTTTCCTTGTTTTAGGTTTGTATCAAAATGATTAATAGTTCATTTAGATTGGTTTTTTTCCAAGAAACTCTAGCAATAAATTACATAATAAAAAAATATGTTTCTTCAAGCAATCATAATATTTCAAAACATATTGTAACAAAGCAGGCACAAAGTCAAATAAAATGGGCGCCAGTGACTGCTGAGGAGGTCTCAGGGGATGGGTTCTTGGGCCGAATTTCGTAACAAAAACACTAATTTGGTGAAGCAGCTGATATCCTTTTAATTCGATGCAAATATCCGCCTTATGGGGTACAATTATCTTCAAACTTGTTCGTATCTAAATAACGAAATGAATCGATTTAGTCCTATATAACCTCGTTTATGGGGGAAAACAACCAGCAACAGAATAAAGAGCAAAATTAAACTCACCTAAATAACAGGTACATCGGCTCACACAAAATAAATCTCTTGGTGCACAGAAAGAACCACTGGTTATCAGATACAAATATAGTACAAAGAATCAGAGCACCTACCGCGAAAATTAATTTCTGTAAATCTCTTTAGCATCCAAAAAGCGCGTGGAGATAAAAAGTGGGACGGCCGAGTTTTTGCCGGTATCGAACGACTTCGCGAATTTAGTTGAAATATAGGAAATCGATATAAGTACGGACATCTGCATTTGAATAGGAAAATCAACTCAATACAAATTGGTAGAAACCTGGATTTCGTTACATCCGCCCCCAAACTATGCAAAAACGGAATATATTGCCCTATATTATTTTTGAATAGTTTCAATTATAGGAGGAAAATAGGGTTTCAAATGCGACACGTGAAAGGTACCACGTTCTTTTGTAGATTGGGGCATCTCTAAAACGTAGGTGAATAAACTTACCTTCTTCTTGATGCGATAAGGCCCCTCAAAAATCAATAGGAACTTTTTCGTCTCAGCTGTTAATGCGGAAGATATGGGGTTAGCTTTAAGTAGCACCATATCTCCTGGGCTATAATCTTTTTGAGGGCGCCCTGGCCTATGGAGACTACGACGTGCAGCCCGGCCCTGCATAGCTTCTTTGGCCAATATGAGTTTAGCAGAAGGTTCAAAATCTGAGTCACCAGGCGGATACTTTAATAAATCGCGGATGGGTGAAGAAAATGATTTACCAAAATGTAACTCTCGGGGGGAAAAACCTGTTGACTCATGAGTGACCGAGTTCAGCAGCTCTGAAAATCTACTCACCTCATAGGCCCACCGAGTGTGCTTCTCACTACAATAAGTTTTAAAAAGACGGGAGAGCTCGCGCATGGAACGTTCTACCGGGTTTGACTGTGGGTGCCGTACCGAGCTATAGACGACTTTGATCCCTAAGGGGGTGAGAGTATCTGACCAAGACTTCGAGGTAAATTGGCTGCCATGGTCTGTTAAGATATTTTCGACCCTTCCGTGTTGACGAAAATAATCCAGCAACAACCGGTTCAAGATGGCCCTTGTAGTGGCTTTTTTAAGAGGGTAAAGCGTTATGAACTTAGAAAAGACATCAATGGCCACACACAGATAAGCAGCACCACCCCTAGATCGCGGAAGGGGCCCATACAAATCCAAGCTCAGTATTTCATTTACCCGAGTAGGTAATATTGGGGTCAATGGAGGGCGAGGCAGGATAGATATTTTTGTCTTTTGACAAACTTCGCAGTGCTTGATAATTTTTTTAACGTCTCGGAAAATATCTCGCCACCAGAAGTCGCGTTTGAGGGCCGTCCAAGTTTTGAAAACCCCGAAATGCCCCAAAGTTTCGTGATATTCCTTTACACATTTCGTCACGGCGATCCTAGGTACACAAAGAAGATACGGCTCTCCCTCAGCCCGACGCGCGAACAAAAGATTATTATGCATTAAGAACCCTTCCGGATGAACAGCCTCCCTATCTTGCAACAACCCGACTATCTCACCGAAATATGGGTCCTCCGCTTGCAACTGAGGCCAGCCTTTTAGATATGATTCGAAACCGGGCGACAATTTGAGCAAGCTTAATAATTTGAAACACTTGTCGCTAGGTGTGGATAGACGCGGTGTCGGAAAACGCGAGAGTACGTCGGCGATTACGTTTTCAGAACCTCTCACGAAATGAATAGAGAAATCAAATTCTTGGATGGCTAGTGCCCACCTAGTAATACGTGGTGTTAGTAACCGACAATTTTGAATATAAATCAAGGCTCGTGCATCAGTCAACACATGAAAATGTTTACCGAGTAAATAAGTACGCCATTTGTACAGCGCAAAAATGAGAGCCAAAATTTCTTTTTCACACGAATTGTACGCGCGCTCCCTGACTAACAACAATCTGCTTGCATATGCGACGACACGGCGGACTCCGTTGATGCGCTGAAACAGCTGAGCGCCTAGGCCGAATTCACTGGCGTCACATTGAACGTAGTATGCGTGGGCGTGGTCAGGGTAATATAGAAAAACCTCTTTTTGCAATTCGGATTTCAGAGTGTTGAAGGCACACTCCTGCTCACTAGACCAAAACCATTTGGTTTTTTTCTTGAACAAACGTGATAAAGGTTCTGCTAAAGAGGAAAAATGTTCACAAAAGTTTCTATCGTAATTACATAAGCCTATGAAGGATTGCAGTTCCTTGACATTTTTTGGCGTTGGAAAATTGATGATTGATTCAACACGAGATGGGTCGGGTTTAATACCATCACTCGTTAAAACAAATCCCAAATAATGCAATTCTTCAGGCATAAAACGACATTTTTTGAATTTCAATGTGAAGTTAGCTTCGGCCAAACGCTTGAAAACCCTTTCCAGGTGTTTAATATGATCTTCGAAACTCTCTGAAAAAATTAACAGATCGTCGATATACGGTATAACAAAGCTTTCGAAAGCTGGACCTAGAATTTTAGAAATACATCTTGTAAATGATGACACAGCGGTTACCAAACCGAATGGCAAAACTGTGAATTGATACGTTTGAGTTCCTACACAAAAACCCGTGTATTTTTTATCAGATTTCCTCAATGGAAGTTGCCAGTAGCTGGCACTGAGATCCAAGCAGGTTTTGAAGCGCGCCCCCGAACTGGAAAGTGTTTTTAAAATTTCGTCGATAGGCTTAGGCAATTCGTGATCACGCTCTGTCACTGCGTTGAGTTTACGAGCGTCGAGGCATACTCGCACCGACCCGTCTTTCTTTACGACAGTTACGAGGGGACTAGTAAAAGGTGTGGAAGCACGCTCAATCACGCCTAGTTCTTCCATCCGTTTGATCTCGTTGAGCACAGTCTCCCGATGTGCAAAGGGGATAGGGTATTGTTTAGATCGGAACGGGGTGGTATCTGTTAAAGTTATTTGGTGTTCGTACAAATTAGTTCTCCCCGGTATATCGGAAAAAATATTCGCATAAGAAAGTAATAGATCTTTTAGGGTATTCCTCTGTTTATCATTCAAACAACTGATATCCTGCACGAAATCCAAATTTAAGCTACAATCTGCATTATTATTAGGAAAACTTGAAAAACTATTTTGCTTAACTGCCACTACTCTCAAGTTAAAAGGTTCTGAAGGAGCTGCATATTCGTGAACAGTGTTCAGTTCACTCACTGAAATTGTTTTATTATCCTTGGAAAAAGTTATTTTATTGTTGCAAAAATCTACATTAGCATTAGTGGTACGTAAGAAATCTGTCCCAAGAATTATTGGAAAAACCAAATCCGATACCAGCAAAAATTCCTGCTGAAACATGTCATCAGAATTCACGTAAAAATTAATTAATAGTTGATGAGTTATACGTCTCTGTTTCGTACGAAACGCCCCCGTAATTCTTACTCCAGTGACTGGAAAAGTTGGTATATCCTCATGAAAATTTGACAACTGGTTATAAACATCCCCTGAAATACAAGATACTTCCGAACCTGAATCAATAAGAGCCGGGAAAGTTATGTTAAATATTTTTATGGGTATAATTGGCGACCTTTTGTCTATCATTTTATGACTAAAATCACAATCACTAGAAAGTAAGTCATCCACGGGATTATTATTGATTATATTGGCCCTAATAACATTATCTTCTCGATCAACCACCGAGCCTAGTGGTTGAGCGTATCCTCGTTTCCCGAATGTTCCTCTTCAGACACATTAGTTTGAGAAATGTCTAACGTTGCTACATTACTTCGATGATTTTTGTTTAGAAAATTTGGTTTTTGAGGAAAACTTCTATTTTTTTCAAATTTTTGAAATGATGTTGATTGGTCAGAAAAACGTCGATAGTAATCAGCTTGACTAAGTCTATCTAAAGCTTCGGATAATGTTTTTGCACCCACTAATAACACTGAGATATGTTCTGGAAAATGTCGTGCAATTAAACTGATGAGAATGTTCTCAGGAAGAGGTGGTTGCAAATGTCTTGCCATAGCCAGGTACCTTATAAAATATTCAGAATATGGGCCTTTGTCATAAATACCAGATTCCAACTGCAATTTAGTTTGTTGCTGTCTGTTTTCATCCCAGAAAAAATTTACAAATGCATTTCTGAAAGAAACAAAATCTGTGAAACTTGTAAGAAAAACATTTCCCCAAGGTTTCGCTTTACCTTTGAACTTTTCGAGAAGCTGATACCTGATATTCTCGAATGGTTGATTATAAGTTTGTAAAATCATCTCAATTTGATTGATAAAGTCTATGGGGTGCGTACTACCCTCGTTATCAAAATATGGTAAATTATTAACAAGCATCATTATTTTTTCTAAATTATTGACGATTACATGTCTTTCATCCCTATTCGGTAAACTATTATTATTTCCAGGAAAAATATCACGTAAGGAGTTCTGAACGTTTTGGGTAACCATGTTGGAGATTACTGCCTGAAGGTCTTCGAGTGTTGGCGGTAATG